TTGAGGTTTGTAGTCAAAGGGTTTGATTTTTAAGTTTGATTTTGGCTTCTAGTTGTGCTTTTTAATGGCTTTTAAGGTCTACGAGGTAGTTGAAAACATGAAAGAGAGTCATCAGGATATGTTAAGACAAAATTTCAACATTTTCGATTATATCCCTGGAGAAACCTTCGAAACTCAGTTGCAGCGATTTACCACACTCACTACTGAGATGAATATAGTTGGGATCTTCTTGACCAAATCTGAGATAAACAAAAAGCTACTGAATTCACTTCCGATATTGTGGGATATGAACGTAACCGTCATCAAGAAGACAAAAGATCTCAATCATCTTAGTATTGTTGATGTAATTGAAGAGCTTGACGCTTTGAAGTGTGGAAAAACAATGAGTTCCGTTAACCTTCTGGTCAATGAAGTTTCATGTTCTCAATCATGTGAAGTTTCATGTACACTATCTAGTGAAGATACGATTAAATTTCTTTGGGAACAAATTGATTTATTAAAAATAGAAATTAAGAACCTAAAATACGAAGGATATCAACTTAGGAAAGGACAGAAACCCCTGAAGGCTGAATTAGAAGCAAAAACCAAAGACTTTAGGAAGCTTCAGGAAGAGTATAGCAACAAGTGTGAAAATTATGACTATATTAAGATACAACTTGCTGCTGTAATTGAAGAACTTGACACTTTGAAAATTAAGTGTGGAAAAACATATGTTAGTTTCAAAAATTATACTGCATCAAGCCAAACAGTCGAGTCCTTATTTGAAACCCAATTAAAATTCAAAGATAATCAAAACAAGGGTCTAGGGTATGATAGTGTTCCTCCACCTTTCAATCATAACTACACATCCATCCTTATGACACAGGAAGAAATTGACAGGGAGGCACATCTTCAATATGGAAAACCAGCTAGATTTGTGTCAGAAGGTATTTAGGTTGAAGATTCTAATGTTTCTACTTTATGTGCAGGTAAATTAGCAGAAGATGAGAATAAGGAGAAGACTACTGAAAAAACCAATGACTCATTGAACTCAGAATCTATTGCTTCGAATTCTCTTACTCTTAACAAACTTGTCGTTGAGAAATACAGGCCACCAATTCCAACGCAACAGGGTGCTTGTTGCAAATGTGCATGTGGGATCAACAAGAGACAAGACAAGGATACGCCACCTGGGGCAGGAAGAAACAACTTCACAGTGAAGAAAAAGACATGTTTTCACTGTGGAACACCTGGACACATTGCCAGAAATTGTCCTAATCACGCATATGTTCCCTACTACGCACAAGGATGGCAAAATGCACCAAGTGGGAGATTTTCAAAAAGAACTCACTCAAGGTCACGTTCCGATTATGGTGACTGGAATGGGCAGAAGGCCAAAAATCAAACCAACAAGGCCAAGAATCAAAATCCCAAGGACAAGAAGGGAATGTCGGACCAGAAGCCAAGCTCAAGAGATGCTCCTGTGAAACCTAGACCAGTTAGGTCAAATTCATCTCAACGGCCGACATCAAGATCAAAAAAAAGTACTGAGCCACCCATCAGATTGAAAAAGAAATGGGTTAAACCCAACTACAAATGGGTTCCGAAGGATCAATCTCCCAAATCAACTAATGACTCTAACATTTCTTCATCTTCTGTTTGTGATAAACAGGCTATGTCATGGGAGAAAGTATCTTGCGTAGACAACAAAGGTCGACCCAGTTTCAAAATGGACTAGGTTCCATAGACCAACTGATCCCGCTCTGTGTTGGAGCAACTATGGAGGCATATCATCAGACTTCGGTTTGGTGGTAGTAGCTGTTCTAGGCACATGATAGGAGGCATCTCTCAACTATGGAGGCATTCCAAGTTGATTATGTTTTCCCATTATCCATTTCCGCCATAAAGGTTTCATTAAGCTTCTAGGGTTGTTGTTTAAGCAAGTGTTTAAATTTATTACTCACAAAGCTTCGCTCTGCCCAGTTATCAAATAAAATGCATGCATATGTGTGGTTTAGGAGAAACGTACTAGTGACAATAGCGGGATCCTGAACTGCTTCTCCTTGACCCATGGTTAGCACTCCCCTGCTCCTCTTTTCCCAGGGTTGTTGACATTGGGGCAATATTGACGAAAATGCCCAGTATTTCCACATCCATAATCGGTGTGGCTTGTCCCAGCATTGTTGTCACTGTTGTTGTTGGTGTTGTTGTTGTTGTTGTAGTTGCGGTTGTTGTTGTTGTTGTTTCCCTGATGCTGGTTCTTGGGAGGATAGGTCCTGCAGTATTTTGCCGTGTGACCCTTTCGATTGTAACTGGTACAATGCATCTCCTTGCATTCGCCATTGTGATGCAGATTGCACTTATTGCACTTTGGGAGATTCCCAGAATATTGCTTAGGGGCACTTGGAGTGGATGAGACCGGAGCATGTGGTGTGGAGGGAACTTGGGTGTTTACTGCATGAACTATCGTTGTTTGTTGTTTCTTTGACAACTCTGAGCCCTGTCGTCCCTTTCTCTTGTTATTCCTTCCTTTCTTGTTTTCACTCTCCTTCTTGCCTTCAGTTTCCCATGACTTCTCGCCCTTCTTGTTGTTGTGGTCGTACAACTTCTCGGCCAACCTCTTGGCACTGTCAAAGGTTTCAGGATTTGCAGCTATCACATTTCCTTGAATTGGGGAGGTTAACCCCCAGATGAAGCGTTCGATTTTATTTCCTTCTGAATTAATCATGCCAGGGCACAATAGAGACACTTCGCTAAACCTTGATAAGTAAGCATCGATGTCGGCGTTTCGGACAGTGAGATTCCATAACTCTTGTTCCATTTTATGAATTCCACCACGCGGGCAGTACTCGGCCATCAACATTTCTTTCAATTCCGCCCACGACATGGCATTGGCTACGGGAAGAGTCATGGCCTCCACATGTCCATTCCACTAGGTGAGAGCTTGATCAACAAATGTGCATGCTACACACTTCACTTTCACCTCTTCAGGGCATTCACATATCTCGAACACCGATTCCACATTTTCAATCCATCTCTTTAGGGTTATCATTCCTCATGTGCCATTAAAAGTTCATAGCTTGGCGTTGGTGAAATCTTTGTAGGAGCATGTCTTGGTAGGTCCTTGGTTCATTCCGTTGTTTGAGCTTCCAGACCGTTGCCCATTGCCTCCACAATTGTTCCCATTGTGGATCTGCGTTAGTGCCGTTGTGACTGCCACATATATAGCTGCTTGAAATGCAACTGAGTTGATTTATGGTGGTATCCGCTCAGGGTTTCCACAGGCAGGTTGTTGAGGCATCCTTCTGTCATGGAATGGGTTTATGTTGAATGCCTAAAACTTTTGTGAGTTTGTGGTCCTATAATCTAGGTGTATAGCATGTACTTAAGTAGTTTCATATATTGACACAACAGAGAAATATAGCACATATAACAACGTTACGATAGAACATACTATTTTCCATTAATAATATCTGTACTTTGATACATGAAAATTTGCTCGAAAGAGCATACATAAAGAGTACAAAGTTCGGCAGCATAACGACTCTATGAGTAATGTAATCGCTTAAACATAGAGTCGATAGTACGTAGGGTGGTACGCGTTAGAAGGAACACAATATTAGTAGGAGATATGGCCGATTTTACATATTGTGACACCTATATATCAAGTAGTAGAGCAAGTCCCATCTGTAGTGCTGACGATGGCACTCAATCGTCGAGCTGACGTATGAAAAGTTCAGCCAGTTTATTTGCCTCTTAGGTGATTACTTCTACCCTTTGCTCGACTCGTACAGCCCTTGCTTCTGTCGCAAAGAGTTGAAGCTTGAGATTAGTTATTTCTTCCTCATGAGAGCGTAGATGGTATGCATCACCCCTCTGAACCGTGCGTGGATCTGATGGGGCTTTCGATAGGCGGGGTTCATTGCGTGCCTCCTCAATATCCTTTCCTTCATCTGACTCCCGGTCAGACACATCGTATTCGTAATCAGTTACCACATACTCTTCCGGTTCCACTTTCGGTCCCACCTGTTGACCCATCGCAGGGCCTCCCTTGGGGTTTTCTTAAGGATCCTCCTCAATCACTCCTTGAGCCACTAGCGCATGGTAGAAGTGTACCCCTTGCTGATCATCATCCATGGTGACTACATGGGGCGCAGTAACGAGTCATGTTTTGATTATTCTCATAGTATTTTTAATTATTAGTGTTTGGATTCCCTAGAGTTATTAGAGAGTGGGGTAGGCTTTTGGATTCATTTCCCACTATAGTTACTCCCGAACACATGTTGGTCATATTCTGAATAAATATAGTTGATCAGGCTATATTTATCCCTAATATGACTACATAACTGCCCAGGTTTAACCATAGTGTTCAATTTCCTCTAGAAGCTTTTATTAGATATTGTTAGGTTATTATCCTAATATAAGCACATAAGTGTGAAATTTCTTCTGTTTAGAGTTATTTAGTCCCATTGTGTTTATAGTTGCATATCATGTATGGTTAGATATTCTAGTTCACTATAAACAATGCTCTGATACCAACCTGACACACCCCCAAACCAGACGGCGGGAACACCCGAGGCACTACTAGAAAAACAGCCTTTTATGACGCTCATTGCGCGTCGTAAAAGGCTCAGACGACGTGCAAATGCGCGTCAAGGAAGGCCTTATCATAAAGAGAGACGACGCACATTTACGACGCTCATTTACGACGCGCATTTACGACGCGCATATACGACACGCAATGCGTATCAAGGAAGGCCCTATCATAAAGGAAGACGAAACGCATTCGCGTGTCGTAACCTTACGACGCGCGTGTTAATGACACGCAATGCGTATTAAGAAAGCCCCTGTCAAGAAAGGCCATGTCATAAATGAAGATGACACACATTTTTACGTATCATAATTTTAAATGTTTAAAAAAAATATTATTTATAGATTTACTAATTTTCAAATTAAATAATACATTAAAAATCTCATAATAAAAAATAAAATACCATAAATAACAAAGATAATTCATTTCACTAATATGTCAAGTACAAATAATTATTCCAATAGTGAGTAAATGCTATTAAAAAATGAACTCATTTATATACAATTGCATCATCTAGCTTACTATGTGCCAACAACTCTCTATGTGCCAACAACATTAGAATATATTCGGATATGGGGTTACAACGTTTTCCTTTCTTCATTCTCGAGCATGTAGAGTTGAACCATCATAATGGTATGCATGTAGCCGGTTGCAGGAGCTTCAGGGGGAGCTATTCGCAATCCTTGGCTTAAAATACCAATATAGTTTGTCAAACGAGAACCTATTAAGAACAATAGATTTAATTAACATCCATGCAAAAGACAGTAATGCCCTTCTCATCTTGCATGAATGATATAACTTAACAGAAAAGGTTTGAAGCTACAATACCATGCTAAAGGAGAATCTTGTTCTTGATTGTATTTTTATATGGAACAAACTTATCAAACCTATGAAAACTTCTTCCAACTCAAGTGCCCAATCCTACATTTTACAAAGTACAAACAAGGCCTCCTAGCAAGTTTTTTCCTACAACCAGAGTACAATGTCAATTTCATGTCAGATATTATAAAAAGACAAAATAAACAAATCAACAAACATATGACTTCATTATACAAGGAATCAGAAAAAGGTTTACCTGTAAATTTCAGCAAATAGATCTTTATCACTAATGTAGGCAAGCAACTTTACTACCTGCAAATTAGTTCAAAAACTCAATCGCTTCTGCTTACCATTTGCTGCACAGGAGACTTTCGATGATGATGAGGGCATTTACATCTTTTGAGCAAACAAAATTTTAACATACCTTCTCAAGCATGTCCTCAACGGCTTCATCGTTCAATTTCTCACTTTCACCATTTTTAAGAATATTATCACAAAATGTAGCAAGTACCTGGATAAATTATTTTTTTAATATATTAATAATATTATCACACTTAAGGTTGGTTAATATATTATAAGTTCTGCAGGTAGATTGTGAATTTCAAGCACCTGGATAAATTATTTTTTAAAAAAAGAAATAAATATGGATATATGAAAAGATATATAATGTAGTAACAGGATTTTACCATGTCATGAGACCTATCAACTGTAATAACCTCTCCTTTATCTTTCATAAGGGAAGCAATTGCAGTTGTTTTTCCACCAGGGGCAGCACACATGTCCAATATTCTTTCTCCCTCTTGTGGATCTATAAATATATGAATTGCCAGAATTAACCCTCGTTGACAATCAAAAAGAAGAAAACAAAGATGTATATATGTAGACATACCTAAGACATGTGCAGTGATGATGCTTGACAGGTTTTGAAGAAATATGTCCCCCTTCATCACATTTGTATGTAATAATTTTTTATTAATGAATTTCAATAGAACTTAGGGTAAAACCGTAAAAGAAAAATAAAAAAATGTATACCATTAAAGGATGTTAATTTAAAAACTCTATAAGTCATATCCACAGCAAGACCTAATAATCCATGAAACTTTCCTGCCCTTGACATGGTTGTGGTTCCTTGACTAATATATAATCCATCTCTTGCAAGATATTGAGGATCTACGACAGATATGTAACAAGTGTTATAATTTATTTATAGAGAAGTAAAAGTAAGTAAGTTGAATGAAGAGAGAGAAAGAGAGAGAGAGAGAGAGAGAGAGAGAGAGAGAGAGACCTGTTTTGAGTTCTTGTAGGACAATGCCACATGTGATTCCAATAGCCCATCCATTGTCACGACTAGGCTGTTCAACACCAACTGAAACTGCAACTAAATCCCCTTTCTCAACATGAGCATTGTGTGCTAATATACCTGGAACATATACCTACACAAATATCACAATCAAACATCAAAATCTGAACACTTTCTAGTGTACCTAATCAATCATGTTGCACATTAATAATAAAGCCAATAGTATTTCTCATGGTCATAACATACTCCTTTAACTATTTAGTCACTAAAGACCAATACACCCACAAACGAGAATAAGAGAAAGATGACAAGAAAAAGGAAAAGAGAACGCAACTGCAAGAAGAATGAAAATGAGAAATTGGGTACCAAGTGAATGTTAATCATTCATAAAAAAAGAAACATAATATAAGATTACAAGCCCGAATGAAAAACAAACATGATTGATAGAATGTGTGATCATTTGAAATAGGATGATGATGATGATGACAAAATGATTAATATAACAATTTCAACTGTTGCTTACCTGAGCACCTCGAAGAACTGCCTCTGCACACTTACATATGACAATTATCTCCTTAGGAGGTCTGTCTTGCTGATAATCATACTGAATATCATGTGGGCCTGAACCCTTCACAAATACAACATAGTCTAGCCCAGGTATTTGACTCTTTAAAACACTTAGGGATTCTATATCCCCATTCTTTATAGTATCTTGCAGCCTCTTATCGCATTGAATTTCCAGAATCTTCTCAATGACAGCTTCAGTTGTTGTGTTCAGTGTGTTTGCACGTATTCAAATCATGAGAAAGCCAGCAAGAAAAGAAAACAGATGTCTAGTGTTGACATCGATAAAAGATATAATATGATCAAGTTTATATCATCAGAAGTAGTTTTTAAAATAGTCTTGTTTCCATTACAGGCATCTTTTGCAGCTGCGCGGCAACATCTATGGCTAAAAGTTGGGTACCCTGCAACACATCCTGTTCATAAAAACATAATATGATGAGTCACCGAGGGTAATATTGTCATTTGAGTGAGGAGGAAAGGAGTTAACGAATTATTATTATTATTATTATTATTATTATTATTATTATTATTATTATTATTATCATTATTATTATTGTGGTGCTTCCTTTCAACTTTTTCATGGACCTTCCGATTATATTCTCTTTCTCCTATGCTTTCACTAGTTGAACCCCTTCAGGATCTTTAGGATAACTAGTCATTTTAAGTGCAAAAAAAGCTTTTGAGGTTCATGCAAAGGTATTCAATGTTTCTTGTTTCTTGACTTGAATTTTATTTTTTCTGAGAATAATATAATATTGACACTAGAATTGTAATTGGTTTCATGATCAGATGGTAGGTACTCAATTTAGACCATCTTATTATAACCTGTGGTCAACTACCCAATTTCCAAGTCTGCAGAATCTTGACTTAATAAGCGGTCAACGGATCTTCAATGAGCCAAGAAGTCAAGAATTTTCTTCAGGTGAACCAGATGTCAAACCAAAACGATGCCGTGTATGCCAAAGACCAAAAGTCAAACAGTTGACCAAAGAGTTAAGTCAAGCTCAAGATAACTCATTGTATTTGACATTAACTGTGTGACCATTCTCAAGTTACATTGTAGTTCAAATTTTCTCTGTTTCATACCTGTCCTGCGATTTTACTATGAAAGGCAATGAAAGAAACATGACATCAGATGCTGATATGGAAATAATATCCTGCAAATTTAGCAAATAAAAAAATTAAAAACTCCTGAAAATAAAACTGCAGAATAAGATAGCGTCTAGTAAAATTACTAACATTTCCATTTCTTTATTGATTTGTTTCTATAGACAAGAATCTAAGTTTATTGATTTGTTTCCATAGACAAGAATCTTATTGGCAGAGGTCATGATGATGAAATTCTTCTAAACCTTAAGTCAGATTCTACTTGACATCATGTCTTGGTGCACCATTGAGTCTGATCATGGTATGTTGTTCTTTTTGATTCTTGTTCTCCATATAAACAAGGCATGTGCCTTTCAAGATTAATGCAGGCTATTTAATAGAATTGATCCTTGAAAACCTAGAGACATGTTTGAACCATATTAATCTATACATTTTTCAAATAATGGACTGAACTTGTTTCATACTCAAAATTACGCATCTGTTCCATTAATTTAAGCTTTGAAATTTAGTTAGTTGTAATCGAAACCATCATCTTCTTTTATAGGTGTTTTTACCGAACTTATACAACAAATGCAAGTAAAAGGCGTGCAGGTAATATTTTCAGTTATAAATGTCTATAAATAAAAAAACACAAACCGAATTAAATGGATTGTGTATGCAGGTTGAAGAGTTATATTCCTTAGATCTTGATTCTCTAAACAGTCTTAGGTACATATATTGAAACTAATCTAACTCCTCTGTTAGGTTACTGCATAGTTGAAGAAGAGGAACTCCTGGTATACAAATACATGTCCAATGGAACTTTATCATCAGCTCTGCATAAAAACGGGAGCTTGTTAGATTGGCCTACAAGGTTTAGATTGCTTCAATTGTAGGAAGAGGTCTGAAGAAGGGTATAAAGGTAATTTAGTCGATATGGAGAACATTGGTCAGCAGAGTAAGTCAACAACTGAGAATGAGTTGTAGTGGTGTTGTTGAGGTGTCTCGAGATCATGATACACATACCTTAATCAGCCCTAGGGCTTGGAAACTTGAGCCGTCGTTCCAGTCTCCGGTGAGCCTAAGGTCTCCGATGGAAAGAGGTGAGCTAAGGTCGCTTGCAGGAGAGGAGAGCCGAGGTAGAGAACGTTTCATAGAGCACTCCTTGAAAAAAGCCCTAGATAATGGTCCCATTGATTTTTTGATAAGATAAATAGTCTGTTCAATGAAGACGAGGATTAGAAGACGATGTTGAATGAATTTTTCAACAGTTAGGGCAAGAACGTTCATCGAACAAACCATACCATTTCATCCTCCTCATGAGAGCTTTGCATTTGAAGATTCTTCGTGGATCTTTTTCCTTAAGAGTTAGAAGCATTATCGCAGCATTATGGATTTTGTTGAGTCGTTCCTTTTCAAGTTTGCATCTGTAACAGCTCAAATTTTCAAATGAATTTTTCATTTAAAATAAAACATCATTATTCGACAAAAGAGTTTATTCCAAGTTTATTGCAAACGTATAAATAATAAATCCTCAAGATCTTCATCGATGGCAGTGTGTACGTGTCACGCCGACGCCTTCCCACGGTCCTCGCTAGTACCTGAAAAACATAAACACAACTAGTAAGCATAAATGCTTAGTGAGTTCCCCAGTATACGACTTACCCACATACGCCTTCCGGCCCGGACCCTTCGGTCCACATAACATTGCCTTCCGGCCCGTAACATAATCGCCTTCCGGCCCATAACATATCGCCTTCCGGCCCGTATTAAATTGCCTTCCGGCCCATAGTATTTTGCCTTCCGGCCCATAATAGTATAAAACATAACACATGTAACATAACGCACATAACACATAAGTCATACACCATACCGTTCTTTCTATCACATAAAGTCTCGCCTTCCGGCCCGTATAAGCATACATCACATTAAGCATACATCACATATAAAGCATCTACCTCTCTAGACATAGCATAAATATAACACATACGACCTTCCGGTCTCGCAGTCAAACCCTTCCGGGTGAAGTATAGTGAGAAGACTCACCTCGTAGTATGCAAGCTATAAACCCTTCGAGCTACTCGCACTCGATCCGCTAATCCGCAGGTTCCCTATAATACCACATACCTTTATTAATGATCTTATCAAACAAGACAACTGACCCTACTAAGTTACATACAGGTCAACGGTCAATCTTGACCGGACTCGTCGAGTGCAAAGGGCAACTCGGCGAGTATAGACACCCCGACTCCACTCGCCGAGTCTAAAGAACGACTCGACGAGTTCTAGTAGATCTTCAAGCTACTCGCCGAGTCTGAAGAACAACTCGGCGAGTCCTAGTGAATCTTCAAGCTACTCGCCGAGTCTGATCATTGGACTCGGCGAGTCCTCGCCATGCAGTCAATCCGCTGCCTCCTGTATTTCGCATGATTTCGAAGTATATAGATATGGGGCTTCCTGGACTTTCACATATACTATTACAGGGGTTTTTAAACACTTGTAACAACACTATAATCTAACAATTCCTTAAATGGGTTTCCTAAACCCTAAATTCGCATACAACGTAAAAGCTACAGATTATGATCCGAAGATTACCTGGAAACGTGCTCCCTGTGTCCCCAACCTCCAGTACTTGACTCCTTGGACTTCCTTTGATCACCACCTTGCCTCTCCTTGTCTAACAATCTCTTCAAGCTTCCTCTAGCCCTCACTCTTGCTCCCGATGCCCACAAACTCCCAAGGTATCTTCAATCGGCCAAAAGACGCGACATGACGGCCATAAGATCATTATATACGATTCAGAATCGAAACGGCTAGGGTTCAGCTGAACAGCGTCGACTCGCCGAGTCCCTATTGGACTCGTCGAGTCCAGTCGCGTATCTGCGACCAAGACCATGGCCCTACTCGGCGAGTCATGCACCAACTCGCCGAGTCCCCTCCTAAATGTGCCTCAAAAATAATTTAAAGAAATATTTGAAATTCCGGGCTGTTACAGCATCGTAGACTGTATTCTCCGTTCAATTTCAACTCTGCGTCTAGTCTTTCCTTTTCATTTGAGCGTCGATAATTAGGGCAAGAGGGAAAGGAGAAAAAAAGGAAGGCGGGGTTTTTAATTTTTTAGGATTTCATTTCCCCCCTGGTTATTAAGGGATGGAACGCGCGTTCCATTAAAATTTATAAAGCGACATCCATAGACGACGCACATTTTATTATAGGTGCCCTCCGTGTTTTTTTTTTTATTTGGATTAGACACTAATTTAAGGGCACTCAGTAATGCACGACCTAAATCCTTAAATTTTTTGAAGAGATGACACTTTTTTAATGTCGCTCTCTAATGCGAAACATAAATCAAAGAGCGTCGTGTTTTGCGTGTCGTAAAAGGGTCTTTTTCTTGTAGTGAGGGATCGCGTGACTTAAATTGAAATATCATCACAATGAATATACATGAAACATAAGATAAACATTACCATGCATTAATACATTACAATTGACCTTGTTCACATCAAGTACATTGTTTAAATATTACATATCCATAGCATAAATTGTTTGAGAGTTTTAAAAACATAACATTCTAACAAACTTGGTATTGTTCTTAAGCTTATTTGTTACCTAAGAATACAAGTTATTTTGAAAATGTCATGTAACGACCCAAAATTTAAGACCAAAAATTTCTTTTAATAAATTATTACTTAAAGTAAAGTCATCATTCCAAAACATAATATGAGTATAAGTTTTCAAAAACACATATTCATTATCAAAGTAAACATTCCCAGGCTGTCTAAACTATGGTGTGTGCCATGCGATCACCCCGAGCTCTTCCCTCCGCTACCGAAAGTACCTGAAACCAAAACTGAAAATCGTAAGCACGAAGCTTAGTGAGTTCCCCACCCTACCACATACCACGCATAACTACATATTGCACATACTGGGCCACGCCCGCTACCTTGGGCATCGCCCGCTACAACGGCGCCGCCGCTCCAGGCCCCGTCTGGCTGCGAGCCCCGCTCGGGTATAGATCTGTTTTACTTCGGCCTCGCCTGTCACAGGGCCTCGCCCACCAACAATTAATAACACATAAACATTTCACAACACATAACTAAACGCATGAAACTGGTTTTGTCCTAAGGCCTCGCCTATCCTGGGCCTCGCCCATGTCCTGCTACTGATGAGTCATGGAACCCCGTCCACGCTCCTAATGGTAGTGAGGTACGGGCCTAGCCCACTCTCACTCCTATTCGAGTTTGGGCCTCGCCCCTGTTCTACTACTAATGAGATATGGAACCCCATCCACACTCTGCTATTGGTGAGATACGGGACCTCGCCCACACTCACCTCCCTACCAGGCAGATACATGTATCACACAGACAACAAGTATAATATATATAAACGAATCTTTGGGCACCCGCCCGCTATTACTGTACCTCTTCCTGAATATCATACTAGCATACCCTGCCCAGGGCTAACCCCCGGGTCTTCTACTCATAACTACATGGGCCGGCATTGTGGCCTTAGACCCATTCACACAAAGGGAAACTCACCTGCACTGGCTGAACTTGCTGATGATCTCACTAGCTGCTGCCCGACAACTCCCGGAACTCCTGCTCCCCTTGCTCCCCGAACTACTAATATCAATGCAACACTGAGTGTAACTGTCCCCCGAAAGACAACCAAGTCAACCCTGGCCAAGGTCAACCTTCCAGGTCAACCCTACTCGTCGAGTCACCCTACTGACTCGTCGATTTCAAAATGATTAGATTCCTTCCATTCGCGACTCGACTCGCCGAGTCAGTCCATGAATCGCCGAGTCTACCGATTTCTGAGTCCTGACCTGTCCAACTCATTGAGTCTCCACCCGAATCACTGATTCAAGTCTCAACTTGAAGGGTTTGGGGTTTCGCGACCTGACTCGCTGAGTCCAAGAACAGACTCGCCAAGTACAAGGCAATCTTCATACGACTCGATGAGTTGTTCATCCCACTCGTCGAGTTTCTCCACAACTTCATGCTACTCGCCGAGTCCACTCAAAGGACTCGCCTAGTCCCGTTAGATCTCCTTACACGCAGAGGACATTTGAGTCATGCATGAACTCCAAACTGTAGATCCACCCTCCCCAAGCCTTTTCCCCACGTAAAGTTGTAAACTTTACGTGTAGAGAAGGAGATCTAGGCAAAATATGCTATAAACTAGGCCTTAAGGCAAAAAGGCTCCATGATCCACTCAAGGGCTGATACTTTATGGAATTCTAGACCAAAATAAGCATGGATATGAGGTAGCAACCTCAGATCTGAACCTTTAGCTCAAAGGTTACTCTTAAGCCAAGAATGCCCAAAACATACACAAAGATCTAGGTGCAAATGAGGGGAGATAGCACCTTGTTACCTCCAAGATGAACACCACTGAAGTAGATCTCGGATCTACACCTCCTCCTTGAAGCAACCTATTTGATCTTCAAGTTCCTTTCCCCAAAGTTCCTTCCTCCAAGCTTTAACTCTCAAATAATGGAAGCTCTCACGAAATCAAGGGTGCACTGGCTCTCTAGAGTGATATGGAGGCTGAGGGAGGGGCATAACACCCTTTAATAGGATACAACTCCCGGGATTAGGGTTTTCCTCGTTCAGACCAGACTCGCCGAGTCACCTTGGCCGACTCGCCGAGTCGGTCGCTTACTCCTCGACCCGGATCCCGCTCGGACTCGCCGAGTCCCTCCTTGGACTCGCCGAGTCTACCCTTAAATT